CATTTTCGGAACTGAAATGAAGATCTTTATGATGAAATCCAAGAGATACAAAAAGTATTCTCATTGCTTCACAGCATTAAGGTTGAACCACTAGTCACATGGATTATATTTCTGATGTCTTTACAACCTTTCTGGGCCTTAAAAGTGGTAATTACATTGCAGTCTATGGGTGGTCAGAAAGTTCTTTCCATCAAAAATATCTTTATTTGTGTTCCAAAGATGAGCGAAGGTTTTAGGGGTTTGGAACGACATAAGGGTGAGTAATTAATGACAGAAATTTCATTTTTGGATCATCATCCAAATCCTTAATTTTAGTTTCACTATCCCTTTAAGTTGAAATAAGACTTCTCTCTGGTTATGTACGTCCAACTTCTTCAGTCATTTTTGTCCTCATAATCCCATTTCTTACAATTGACTGCAAGCTCACATTCAGATCTGCCTCCATCTAATCAACAACCAATGGATAGAACCAAGTCCTCCTCCATCCTTTTCATTCTGATGAATGTCACAATATACAAATGGTCCAACTTTTGATTAGGAACTCGTATTCACTATTAACTAGAAGATTATTAGCATGCATATTGCACATATTAATGCCTTGATCTGAATGACCATATTCTAGAACCCTTAAACTTATACCTAAAGGAGTAGTTCACTTTAAAAAAAAAAAGAAAAAAAATTAACTTTTGCTGATAATTTACTCACCCCCATGTCATCCAAGATGTCCATGTCTTTCTTTCTTCAGTCGAAAAGAAATTACGTTTTTGATGAAAACATTCCAGGATTTTCTCCATATGGACTTCAATGGGAACCAAATGTTTCAAGGTTCAAATGAGAGTTTCAGTGCAGCTTCAAAGCACTTTAAACGACACCAGACGATGAATAAGGGTCTTATCTAGCGAAACGATCGGTCATTTAAAAAATAAATAAAAATGTTTCAGTTTTATAAGCACAAATGCTCGGCTTGCTCTGTTCTGTGATGAGCGTTCGTGACTCTCCTGTTCAAACTCGTTCATCAAAATGAACTAATCTTTTTTCGAGTCATGACTCAAACGGTCCTGGATAAGACCCTTATTCATCGTCTGGTGTTAAAGCCCTTTTGGTTTCCAATGAAGTCCATTACTTTCAACAAAAAATGTCTATGGAGAAAATCCTGGAATGTTTTCATCAAAAACCTTAGTTTCTTTTCGACTGAAGAAAGACTGACATGGACATCTTGGATGACATGGGGGTGAGTAATTTATCAGCAAGTTTTTTTTAAAAGTGAACAACTCCTTTAATCAGTACAGCAAATACTTTACTTATCATCAATAAGCATTAATTAGGAGTTTCTGAGGCAAAATTCCTAATTAATACCAAATATGTGTCCTATAAAGTTTTTCCTATATTATATACAGTATATCTGTTTCTGTAACCTTATTTTGTGGCCATGTGTCTCATTGCTATAAATGTAAGAGTTCTAAAGAAGCATTATTGTGTGTGAGGACAGATGGTTTCATGTGGAAGGTGACTGCACAAATGTGTAGTCTGAAAAGATGACCAATAACGATTGTGGATTCAGAAGAGATAGTCTGAAGTTCCAACACAAGTTTTCTTGTGTATGTAGCTTCTATTTACTTACTTAATACATTTGCAGCAAGCTCACATATAGATCTCAAAAATACTTCACTCACAACAGTATTCCAAAACATGTTTTATAAAGGTAATTACTTTATTTTATACCCCTCACATCTAACACACACCTTAATGAGTTTTTAATTAAATGTAAAGTGAGTTTTGTTCTGCTGTGTGACTAATACGCCATTTACTGACTTAAAATCTAGTCTGAAATTAGTGACTGAAATCAAATTTCTTTGCTGCTGGTTTGATCTAGAGAGGGCTTAGTAATGTAGCGGTGGGAGATCAGGTAGTCCATGATTAGAGATGGAAACCAGCTATCAAAAACAGAGAATAATGATTCAAATAAAACCTTTTAACAGGCGGTCTGCTAAATTTCACAAACACAACAACTGAAGGCCATATTGTTAGTTGTAAAGGCATCCAGACAACAACAGAAGAGAGAAATCTCCAAAATAAACCAAAGTTTTAAGGGGCATAAATCATATCTATCAATACTAAAAACAAATCTATCAAAGATCAATTTTGTGCTTTCAAATTAATAATAATAATAATAAAACATTTCATCTACAGTATAAAGCATAGAAATACACAAACAACATTTTCAAGTATATAGAACATGAAATATCACAAAAAATACAGCAGACAACATAAGATCAGACCACATAAGATTTGTGAATTTGGGGTTAGACATCGCTTTTAAAGGACATTTTAACTCACTCATGTGAAATCAAGCAGGTTGTAATATAATGTAAAGGCTACGGTCAACGGCGTAACTAATAATAAATTAAAGGGATTTTCATGAGCTCAAACAGAGGAAAACGGGTCAGTTAGTATCCATGTACAGGGCACCCCCAGGATCCACCAATTTAAATTCAAGGCTTTTTAAGCCATTTCAGATGAAATTCAATGCCAACTTCGTACCCATTCCGACAGAAGTATGAGGGGAAAATGTCAAATCGGTATACATTTCAAACCCTAGAAAATAATTATGTACAAGCAAGGAGGCTACTTGAATTAAATAAAACATTTTACTTAAATTATCAGTCATATTTAATACATACACAACAACGTTGTAGCTCGCACGTGTGTGTAGGCCAGTGATCATTTTGGCAGCCATTTTTTATTTAGTCTTAGTCTTCAGATGAAAATACTTCATCCTATAATAAGTCATCCTGTTTCGTATAGTTGTAGTTAATGAAAAGTCTTAGCATTTTTCGTCAACTTTTAGTCAAACTGCGGTTACTTTACTTTTGGTAGTTATTTTATATGTAGTCTTTAGGCAGAAAATGTCATAATTATTCTCTCTAGGCCAATTCAATTAAGCATATGTTAAATTATTGATATTGCACTCTTTAGCAGTAGCACGTGTGCAGTTCTACATACAATAGTTATCCCTTTTCCTAAGTTCAGTGGTTCTCCAATGTTTTAGAGTGCCGTACCCCCTGTAGCCCTCTCTCTTCCACTTATACTGCACGCACACCTTTTCCATTCAGGGACAATATTTGCCCCCTTAAATCATTTTTTCCATTTCATTTTATTTACCTTTATAATAGCTTTAAAAAATGCTTTAAATAAAACAATGTTCATTAAATATGCAATGTTAAAAAACATTAAAATCGCCATTAGGTGGCGCCGGCGGTAACTCGCTATCTTTATGAGTGAGTCTGAGTCATTCATTCATTGAATCTCACGATTCGTTCAAAGCCACTTATTTCGTTATAGAGCAAGCCTGACAATGCTGTTTTAAATGTAGTACATGTACATCACTTAATGTTACCATTAATCTTTTCTTTTTTACTATTGTATAAAATCAGTCACATTTGAAATCGTTTGGATATAAACATTGCATTCTTGCTCGTATGAACATTGATCGCATTGATCTGCATTTTGATCGCAGATTTAGTCGCACAAACAGCGCAAGCGGCTCGTTACAGAACACAGACCGACTGAATGACACTTTAATTTAAGTAGAAAATCTTAAAGATCGCTGCACTCCAGCTTGTGTGTGTTTTCAGATAATCCGCGCTTCTTCAGCAGTGTAGAGAGAGCGAGCGCATGGTTGCCAGATAACGTTACTATTGAAAAGACAGGGTAGAAAATATGTTCTTTTAACAGAAAAGCTCTTATTTGCGGTTTAAATTCCGTCATTTGTGGCCACAGCGGATTAAACAAGGCTAGGTACTATCTTGTTCTGTACCTCACTTGCCCAGTAACCATAGTAACGGGTGCGCACGCAATCCTTTTTCTGCTATAACGTGGAGCGCGAGGGGCACTCAACGCTGCATACATTTAGAATTAGCCTACATTAGTTAATTTTGTTACGGTATGAACTTAATCCTAGGAAAGGCAAAAAAAAAAAAAAAAAAAGAAGAAAAATAAGACCTTTGTAACGAAATCCAAGACTTGTATACTAAATTCAAGGCTTTTAAGGCCTTAATTTGAGGCGATCAAATTCAAGACTTTTTCAAGGCTTTTAAGACCCGCGGGTACCCTGCATGTTTGGGTCGATACAGCATTCTGAAAGAGACTAAAGCAATTGTAAAAACCAGACAGGGAACAAACACATAAAAAATGAAATGGCATTATCACTGTAAGACCAGGGTGCATGTGCTTTTACTACGGGTGATCGTTTCTTTTCTGTATTTAACGTCTCTTCTGCTATCAATTAGACCATAATGTTATTGCAAAGGATTACTATTCGAATAAAATGTCTGAGTGTAATCTTTAAAAAAAAAGATATGCTAATCCCTCACTCAAACCTTTACAAATGCTATATCACCTTTTCAATTTACACACACCACCACCAATCAGAACACGAGTCTACAGGCTTGCCGTGCTGTCACTCCTCATCCTGTGACACAAAGAGCCAATTACATGCAAGCTGAAGCAAACATGGATGGTCAAACCAACCTTTCGGAGTTCTTCATCTGGTATTGATGTTTGTTTTATTTCAAGCAAATGACCATCAGTGACATTATTCAGGCTCTACAGGCATTTGACCAATCGGCTCGTTAAACAAAACCCTACAAAACAAAAATAAGTTAAATGTTTTTCAGAATTCATATTGTTCTTGTCATGACTCAGATCAGCTTTGCTTTGCTTATATACAGTAAAGTGAGACAGTACAAGGCACACATTAAACGTCTTTGAAATGTTACCGATGCATAAATTAACAAATCCTATCACAACTTCATCTACTGTGCTAGAAAATGGGTACCTAGTGCGAACGGCTAAAACTCTCTCGCTTCTGTGTTTTTAAGAAAAGAACTGGATCTAATGCTAAAGGACTAGGACCTAGGTGGTTTCGAGATTTTTATAAGAATGTTGTCAAATAGTTGTCATGGATCACAGTCACAAGTCCTACTGATCACTGTTGCACATCAATCTGAAATGTTAAGGCTGAAGTTCAGTGTTGTATTTTCAGTGATGGAGAATTTGATATCTAATTATTACATTCTGATTATTAGACTCCATGTGCGTTAGATACTGTCAACAAAGCTGCCAGGAAAAAGCCCGGTTCGGCCGTTTCTCTGTAGTGTTCCTTTAAACCATCCGTCCTCTCGTTTTCTGTGCACGAAAACAATGTCTCCCTCCTTGAGTTCCAGCTCTGCTTCGCTTTGGGGAGGGTAAGACACCACCACACGGTACCTGGAGGAAAGGTAACATACCATGTTTAGAACTCAGGCAATGTTTGAAGTGTGAATGTTGATTCCTTGGTGTTATTGTACCTTTCGCACACGATTGGTCGTCCGTCGTGCTGCACGGAGAGGAGGGAGGAGCACGGCTGTCGTGGAGGCGGGGCAATCGGCATGCAGTGTTGTCCTGAGAGCTGCACCTGTGTGACGCTGCGTCTGTGTTTGACACAGAGAGCTCAGAATCCATCGGACAGGCCCCAGCACGGCCGTTGTGTCCTAGCGCCACCAATGCTGAGCTAGGCGGAGCCGTTTCAGGTCCAATGGCACCATGGGGCATCTCCATGACAATAGATTGCTCTGCTTCCAGTGTAGGGGAGGATGGAGGAGATAGGCGGAGCTTCTTTTTATTAGACAGCAGTTTCAGCAGGCCTTTCTTCTCTCTCTGAAATGACACATTTGATTCACAAAGAGGCTGAGTGCAAACAGCCTTTTAGACAAACATGTAATCAAACGGAAATCATACGAAACATTATGGAATGTTCCCATCTAAGCTGCAGAGGTAACTCATTAAAAAGTTGTTTTTGCGAAATATCTCAATTTAGCAAAAATAATTTGTGGATAAAACAGCATTTCTATCCCATTTGGCAAATAAGGACAACAGAAATGAAAATGGAAGTTGTAGCCACTGTTGCCATTTAATTACGTAATGAAATATTTGTGCGCAGACAAAACACTGTGACGAACCTCTGGGAGGTAACAGTGGTCAATCATCTGTCTTGCAAATGACCATCACATGACTTTTGTTAAGGAAGTCTTTCTATTGAAAATAAAATATCCATATATTTTAAATATCTGTTAATATTTTATTCATTTTCGTGTTTCCATTAAACAATTTTATGTCATATCCCAAAAATGTACATAAAAATGCACAGTTTGTGTCAGAGACCAAGGGCCCTATTTTAACGATTTAAGCGCACAGTTGCAAGTGCATTTATTTTAGGGCGTTTACAAATCCACTTTTGCTAGTTTAATGACGCGAAAAATGGTTGGTGCGCCCAGCGCATGGTCCAAAAGGGTTGTCCCTATTTTCTTAATGAGTAATTGGTGTGTATTGAGCTTTACATGCAATATTCCAATCAGAGTCTCATCTCCCATTCCCTTTAAATGCCAGTTGCGCTCATGCCATGGCGGATACGCTATTTACATGACAGAATTTGATAGTGGAAAGACCAAACGCATCTCTAGCGTGCAAACGGATCAACTTGAGGTTAAAGCGTGTGAGCAGACCATCTAAACAAGCCACAAGCTGGATTCCACCATGTCTTTATGTACACAGTACACAATACTAAAACAAACCTTTTACATTGTAATCGTTTTATTTTTAATATTTGGCATGTTTGTGTGCTGCTGCGCGTCGCTGTATATGTAATAAGCAGCGTGTACTCGTGCTGTGGACCTGCCTAGAGGCTCGCATCACTACTGCACTCTTTAAATAACAAAAAAATATTGCGCCATTGACTTTTGACGAGGTTTCAGTTGTCTATTTCAATTGCCTCAAAATAGCAACGAGCCAACAATGCACCTGAATACACCTCATTTTCAGACCAGCATGCCCATAGACGCACAAACGGGCGCAAATGCATTTGCTATTTAAACAATGTGGCGCAGGATGTGAAAATGATAACTGCGTCAGGCTGAAACTAGCAAAAAACACTCCTGTCGCACCCGACGCTGCATATGATAGGGTCCCAAGTGTGTTTCTACACACAGCATGGTTGTGTGCTTGTTCCAATCCCACACTTTCACCACCTGTCCCATCTTAATCTTTCCTATCTGTCATAAAAGATAAAAGACAAAAAGACAAAAAAGTGGATGTGGAAAAAAGTCTACTGCTGTGAGAAACACATACTATTTTTTAATTAATGTTGTTCTTATTTAAAAGACTGTCCCACTCTTTAATTACATTTTACTCATCACTTTTCTTCTTTTCCCTTTTTTCTACATCTTTATATCTTCTAGTACCACAGCTATCTAAAGCAAAAAGAAAAACATGCTTTGGAAAAGAAGAGGTTTATAAAAGTGAACTACGAAGATTTGTGAGTCAGCTACACTGTACATGTAAGAGTATTGAGAAATCTCCCAGAACACTGAGGCAAAGAACACTCAGGGTTGTGTCCTCTGGGTTCAGCTAAATCATGAAAAAAAAAAAAAAAATGATGATTTCAGCTCTATATCAGCAGGCTTAACCATCCAGCTCAGCAAATGAGGTGAAACAGAGAGGATTTCTAATTGCCAAATGCCCTAATGCAGTACATTAAAATTATACAGATGGGGGAAATACAAAAGCAAAAAAACCATTAAAAAAAGCTTTACGCCCTGTTCACACTGCCAGCGTTCATTTTAATGGAGGGCTGGCCACTTAAGGGCGACACGAGCAACAATGACCGTTGGCGACAGAATGTGGGTTTGTCAAGCAATGCGAGACAAGCGACAAAAGTTCAGAAATTTAAACTTTATGCAAATGAGAAGGAAATTTTGCAAGCAACAACCAATAGGAGTGAAGACTGTCAGTGGAGCTCATGTAACTGTCTCGATGGCATAGTTTCAGAGCGCTTTCACTGATTTATATGATTTGACTGTAACCACATTCATGGAAATAATAAAAAAGTTGTGTTGATTATTGGGGACAAGAACATGAATTATTTGTCAAATTTGAATGACATTTTAGTCATTTTTTACAGTGTGAGTGAGTTTAATTTGTCGACTGATCACTGCTGTGGTTAATGTAACACTCCCCAACAGCATAATGTTACTTTTAATTCTTTTAAGATTAAATCCTAGTCAAGTTAGAATAATATCTTAGTTTTATATATCACTTGTGATTGTACTTTCTATAGATATGGCCAGTCTACCGGAAACATTAGAGCGACAGTTCTAGGAACGCCCACAAGCGACCAGAGACTAGCGACATACAGTGACAAGAGTTGCTGGTGGTGTAAACAGGGCTTTAGTTCAATGGTCTTACCTTGCTGTCTTTATCCAATCTACAAGCAACACCCTGGTTCGAGGCACCACCTAGAGATTTTGTGCTGCCAGGGTTCACAGGAAGTGCTACCACAGAGACAGGTCTCATGACATCACCATCCAAAGAAGCAGCGCTAACATTAGGAGGGGTCAAGGAGGCGGCTGCACATCCCATAGCCACACCGATTCTGGCTGAGGAGGATCCCGGGCTGGAGCCGAGGACAGGTGAGGCCTGAAGAATCACAGCTGTGCTAGGAAGGTAGGCCACAGAATTGTGGGATTGGATGGGCGTCACTGCTGCCGTAGGCCGGTCCTGACTATGACTCACAGCTGGTGGAGAAAAAGGTGGAATATGATTTATAGTTTCAATGACAAATTTCAATGTCCATGATAAAGAATTATATATACATACACACACACACACACACACACACACAGACACAGAATACACCCATGCTAAAGTTGACTAAAAAGTAATCTTTTGGAAATTGATCTTAATGCCTTAATTAAAAAAAAAAAATGAGGAAAAATCCAACCTTTGAGGACACCAATTTTCTTTGTGAATGAATGTTTCGTAAATAAATACATTTTTATTTGCTAAAAATAATAATAAATGGCAAAACTACCTAAGGTTTTCTTTTTTTAAGAAATAGTTTAATTAGGCTTTTCTCTTCATTATGATATCATATATTTTATGCTTTATTCCACCAAAAATATCAAAATGAATTTTAATTCAGAAATGAAAAACATGGGGGGGGGCTCTCTCCCCCCTGTTCTGTTTTGTCAATTATTGTTCTCATATGTTTCATGTTGTATGTGTGATACACACTTTGTATATGTAAATCCTCTCTCAATATCAAATATGTATTGTATACTGTACATTTTTGTTTGTTTGTTACACTCTGGATTCTGTTTTGTGTGCAATAAAAAAAAGAAATTAAAACTATATCAAGAGCACATAGGCCTCTTTTTGTATTATAATTCTGAGTGGTTTTTATTATTAGGTGTGTGAGTGCATGTACATGTATTTCTACCTGTCCTGACCGCACTGCGTGCCTGGTTAACGGTCATCTGTGACGTCACATGCATGAGCACTTTGGGGTGCTGACCAGTGGGCACGTGTGCAGCTGTTACTACAGCAGCCGGCAGTGAGCTAGATGGGGTGGGATTTGGGCAGACTGGAAGGGGTTTACTGGGGTCGACACTCCCCAGGGCGGCTCCAAGAGGAGCAGAGGAGGGGCTAACAATGGTGACGCCACGTCCAGCCTGTGAGCACAGGGTCAGGGGAACTTTTGGCTGACTGCTGCCAGAAACAGTCCTGCAGTAAAAGAGAAGTATGAGGTTCAAGACCCTTTAAACTGATAGATCTTTTTTATGCAGCTCTTATCCTGAATCTTTTGTCACAGCAATACATATTACAGCAAATCAAGAGAAACATCCAAACATTTAACACATCTGCACGAACATTTAAAGGGCTCCATCTAGTTATATTTCTTTTTACGTCATAGGTCTGATAAGGTATTGATATAGAAAAACAGTTACTTGACTGTGAGGAGAACATTTTGAAGACCTCTGTACATTGAATGTAAATGGCTAATCATGATGAATGTTTTTCAGGTGATGCGTTTTAATTTAATAAGTGAATGATAATGTCTGTAATTCTCATGCCTGCCACAAGAGAGTGCTGAGGTGAAAAAGAAACTTCATTGTCAGTTACAAAAAAAATAATTGTGACTTGCACCACATTTTATACTCTTTTTCAATTGGTAATCGACATTATGATTGATACATTTTGTCAATAAACAATGCCTTTTATTGAACCCGCAACATTCCTTAAACAATTCCATGTGTTAATGTGACCAGCTTAGATTTATCTGCAAGTGGTCTGTATGCCTGAAGGAAACCACTGGAAAGCCAGAGGACAATCTAATCTTTCCTTAGCTTACAGGGTGTATGAGTGATAACATGTACAAGTGTGTGCGTGTGTGTACCATACCTGTTGACAGGACTCATGTAGTTACCAGGGAACACTCCAATCTTGCCAGTGTGCATGGACGTTCCTTTAAACCAGCCGTCCTGACAGCGCTCCAGCACCAGAAACATCTCTCCCTTCCTCAATTCCAACTCATCTTCCTTACGGGGTGTGTAGGGAAACATCGCCACATACCTGAATACCACATAACATTTTTAATTTGTTTATCCTTATTTATTATTAAAAAGTTCATTTGCATTACATTCAGTACTGCTGATCAAACAGGGGTTGGCGCTGTTTCCACATGGCTATCATAAATCACAATCTACTATTGATCTACATAATCTTAATTTCTAAGGACACCAAAAAGGCATGAAGTCTTTAAAAAATGCCCTGGAAATGGGAATGGCATGACCAACAAGCATAAACATACTCCACTCAAGGCACTACGGGCGAATCCAACAAAAATCAGGTGTGTATAGTGCTGTGTTTAGTTAATATGAAGGCAAAAGGTGAAAGGCGAGGGATCAGGGTTTAGGTTAAATCCTCAGAGACAAACCTAGTCCCCTCAGAGGTGACCTCTGACCCCTCACCTGTGTGTTCAGTCACGCTCAGCTGGCATTGGGTAATAGCAGAGAGGTGAGTTAGAGTTGAAAGGACTCTCTCATACTCTCTCCAATACCATGCACTATATAAATTGAATTAACATTGTATGTTTAAATTGTGTGGACGTTCTACTCACACTGTAGGTCTCTGACGGCCACTCTGGTCAACCACAGCAGGTGAAGGCCTCTGCCCAGCATTCAAAGCGGCAGCGCCCACAGCAGAGGACCGAGACTGAGGTGGAGGCGGAGGTGGAGGAGGAAGAGCATCCTGAAATTATCAAACACATCTGTTAATATACATCATGCCTACTAAATTATGCATACCTCAGAAACAATGCATTTAAAGTAGCCTACATAAATTCTTGTTTTGAGCAATTTTAATTCTCATATCAGCCCATATTCATTGTTATTTTGCTGATATATGCACTGTGCATTCATATAAATAACTTAGATTTATGTGGAGCAGGAAATTATGTCAGAGAGATCCCTACAAGTTTGGACAATGCCATTAAAACCATAATCCCACTGACTGTGACTTTCCAGCTTGTGTGTTGGTTGCTAACAAGCGAGGAGTTTGGCAGGTGTTGTGATTGGTGGATATCCAGCCTGGGCTACATGTCTGGCTGAAGACGGATAAATCGGTTCCATATGGACCAACGCACACACACACATCTGCAAACAGACTTTATGAGCCCAGTGGCACCACTACGAAAACAACTCTCACACTATAATGCTTGTTTTGTTGCTTCAAGTCAACTTTTTTTGTCAGTAAGATCTGTTCATTTTTAAGTTCTCCTACAATGGATTTGTTTACTAATGCTCTTGTCTAATTTGTTTTATGAATTGCTTTGTCTTGTGTTGTTACTGCTTAATGTGGATTTACAGTAATTAGAAAACAACCGTCTTGCTCTCCGGTGCTTTTAAATCCCGTATGCGAGATATGAGAGAAAACTGATGCACACTAAGGCCACCATTACAAAAACAATGCATTGAAAACAAAAGGAAACAATACCCACATAGCACTGCACACACATCAATCTCAGAGAGCCATTAGTGTCCACCCTGAGGCACACACAACTCCCTGAAAGTGTGTGTGTGTGTGTGTGCATGTTTGTATATAGGGGGCGATCAGATGGCAAACTGTCCTCGTTTAGAATTAGCACTTGAGTATATGTATACAAATATATATGATAATGAGAGAGAGATATTATATTCTATCTGCATTGTTTATGTGAGTGTGTTTCCATTTTGATGAATTATGGTTCAAAATTTTGGGGTCATAAAGGTTTTTTTTTTAAAGGACACATTAAACTGATTTAAAATGACAGTAAATACAGACAATGTTACAACAGATTTAGATTACAAATGGACTGTTTCCATCATAGAAAATAAAGAGTAGTGATATTTCACAACATTATTATTTTTTACTGTATTTCTATTAAAAAAATGCAGCATTTATGGCTTTTCAAAAAAATCTTACCAAACACAAACTTTTGAACAGCAGTGCACACTGTTAATGCTTAAATTGAGAAAAAGATAATGTTGCATTCTTAATTAAGCACTCAACTTTAATAATGTTTTGGTTTATATGGGATGAATTTAGAAACATCTTAGAGAGAGTTTTTAGCTCACAGGCAAAACAAAGGAACAAACAAAACAAAGGAACAAACAAACAAAAAAACGTAAGAAGCTGCATCTTTATATTCTTTTCGTTTAAAGTATTGTGGCAACAGCCATCAAAACAGTCATTTAGTTTAAAAAAAATCCACCGCCTCCAACGATAAACTTTAAAACAACTGCACTCAGAATCCAAATACTTCTCGCACCATAATCATTGCAATTTTATATAAAAATATTACCATGATAACTATAGAAATTTTGGGGAAAAGATGTCAAAATTGGTCAAGATCATCTTTAACTCATTGATATTGTCAATGCCAGTATATTGCAACACCCCATGATTTTATAGTTTCATTCTGTATTTGAACAGCAGAGCGCATCTTGTGTGAATGCTCCAAAAAAAATTTATATAATTTTGCACATCCATAGATTTTACCCATAGCACTAGAAAACAGATAGATGCTGTAAATATTGTGCACTTTAAAACTGAATTCTTTTCAAAAGTAATCATAACTTAAATGTTCTAAAACTTATTTTAGAGGTTAAACCTGATCTTATATTTTAAACCTGACACAAGAAGTAGCTTAACGATTCTGTTAATTCACCAGTTATAGGTCAAAAAAGAAAATCTGGAAATGGCAAACATCAGCCACTTATTTGACCTGGCTTATAGGATTGAGTAATAGGGTTACGTTTGAATACTGATGTAGAGAAAGGGTCACTATTTATACAGGTCAGAAGAAAGTCATATGAATAAATGATAGGATGATGAAGATGTTTGACATACTAAGTAGTTGTATAGACTCACCACTGGAATAGAAGCATAGCTGGTTTCTGGGGGAAATGTGAAAACTGTCGCCGTGGTGACAGGACTGCTTGGTGGAGGAGTAACAATGAGTCCTGATGTGCAAATATGAACCTAAGAGAAGACAAATAAGAAGAAATGACAAGTTAATCAAACATTCCTGAATAATTCCCACTCCTGTATCAAGCAAGTGAAAGCACGTTATGAGACACTGAAATTCTGTTCAAGGGACGACATAGAAAGGCATATAGGCGAGAGAAATTTGGGCAGATAGCCAAATTAGTGTATGTGCACCCGATGACAGCTGTTCAGACAAACCAAATTTAATGCAATTAGACATCTTCTAAGATGCATGCCGGCCTGACTCTACATTTGTCGTTCATGCCTGAAATCAATCCACCTCAAGAACAACACTGATGGCCTAAAAATGTCATGACTTGCCTTTGGTGAACTGTCAAAAAGACTTTTATTCTAATTGGTCAGATGCATGAGTGAACAAACTGATTAATGGTTGGTTGAGACAGAGCACATTAAATATTTAAAGTTACTAAATTTCATACTAATATTCATCAAAACTAACTTATAAGAGTCAACTGTCAGCAAAACAAAGCAAGTTCTTGCGGAGATTAACTTCTATTTCACTAAGTCTCTAGCTAATTCTCCTTCTATCAAGAGGTCATATATGACAAAAAAAAGAAGCTTTATGCACATATTTTGACAGAAAACATAAATACATGGATGGACCACCTAGGTCAGCTACAAGTGAAGTATCATGTATCCATTATATTAAGTCCTCAGATGCTAGGATCACAGGGCTTCATACAGAGCCTTCATAAATAAACTTTGAGGATAAACCAAACCTCTGAGAGACACTACAAACAAACGAGAATCAAACTGATTTGTAGGTTCAAAGGGATGTGCTGCAGAAATGTTCTATGTTGTGATAAGTGCTGAGCAAATGATGTGCTCTTTTTGAGTGAAACCACTTCAAGTGTGCTTCAGCAAATCAGTCACAAGAGTCTTCAGACAGGCAATATAGAACATCCATAAAAAAGAAAAAGAAAAAAATCTGCTCCTTGTGTCTAAAGGTATTTAGAGAAGAGCTCAAAATAGTCCTCGTCAAAAAATAGACACGTACATAATTATACAGAAATATGCTATCATTTCAAGTTCGATTTAATTTCCTGTTCTTTCATTCTCCCTGTGCCTGAGGGAAATGCAACTATTCTGCATATTGTATGTCTTGAGGTGGCATTTGTCATTAATGACATAGCTTTTTCTCCCTTCTTCACCTCAGGTCCAGATTTAGATCTGTACATCTCTCTTCGTGACCTGCGTGTTCCCTAGCCAATAAGCCCAAACTACAGGCTTCTCCGGGTTAGCATCTTCTAAATTCATTACAGGTAATGAAATGGGCATGAGAGAAGGCCAAACCATTTCAAATCTGTAAGAACTGACTGAATCTGCTCTTCACACTAAAGAAAGATGGACTGTTGTGTGTGCATATAATAAGAGTATTAAAAAGACAAAAAAAAAAGTTCTGCTAAAATGCTTTTTTTGAATGCCACTTCATTTTTTATTCTATGTAATAGCGCAGTTCTCGTGACATTCAAATTTTAAAGGTGCTATATGTCATTTTTTCGGACTAGACAGTTCCCATTTTAACCACTAGCTGTCAAAATTAAATACTGCACCTTTAAGTGTTTTAAAGTTGGCATGAAATAAAATTTTTCTTAATGTTATTAAACTTTTTGTAAATGATTTGTCTGCAGGTGAAATTTTCTGAAAACATTTTAACCCTGTGTGGTCGGCAATCACGCAGCTGCGATTTTTTTTTTTTGAAAACACCTCAGACCCCAGAGGGTTAAACAGTGTATCTTCTGTATGAGTGTGTTGAGCTGGGAGCTAAAGCTGAATGTTTTCTCCACAGAGATCTCACAAAGAGTAAGTGCTAGAGGAGTGTATTGAAGTACATGAGAATCTGTGTGTGTGTGTGTGCACCACTGCAAAAAGCATATCTTCCTGCCACAGGTCCGCTCAGCTTCAGGGTACAACAACTCTCAAGTCGCACCCTACAGGTTAGATTGTACAAGGTACTGAGTGAGTCAATGTGTGGGATATGAACATACTGGAGGGCACACAAACACTCACTAAATCCTGTGTTATTCTCGTTGACAACGCTTCCTGCTGGTGAGAATGACATCAGCGATTGCCAATTGGATAAGCCATAAACTGGATGATAGCACAGCTGCGTACAGGCCTGCATTTCCACAATGCTGAAACCCTGCAAATTAACATGGCCAAATAGTTTTGCTTTTTTTTACAGGGAAAATTGTAATTCCACCCCCACAAAATTTTAATTCTGTCATCATTTACTTGCTCCCATGATATCCCACAGCTCAATGACTTGCTCAAGAAGACATTTTGAAGAATGTTTAATATGGAGCCCATTGACTTCCATTGTATGGACAACAAAAACACAGACATTTCTCAAAAGATTTTCTGCAGAAGAAAGAAAGCCACATGGTTTTGGAACAGAATGAGAATGGGTAAATGATGACAATATATATATATATATATATATATATATATATATATTGTTAATCGCTCAAGGGTTTGAGCAACTAACTAATTTTGCACTTTTTCAATTTTTTTAACCACAGATATCCATTTGTTACAGAAAGTTGAGAGACTTTCTTGTTGGTAATGTGGCTTTTCTCATGAATATTAATTAGACTAATAATTAATTATTTAATGATTAAATTATATTTTACCATTTTGATAAATCATCTATATGATGTACTGATTTGTAGCACTTATACCGTTTTTCATTTCCAAGTCATAATTGAAATGCAAAAGAATAACATTACAATTATAAATGGTAAAAAAGAAAAAGAAAAAAAAAGAAACTCATCTTGCAGGCCTATTCAACTCAAATAAAACAGACATACTAATTTGATTACATCATTGCTACATCTGCCATTGTCAGTCATGGGATTTGGTCAGTCAGTGGCTCAGCAATGTGTGATGCATACCTGCATGTCTAGGACAATACTCAAATCCACCCTAATATAGCTTGTATTATAACTTTTAAAAACTTAGTTTAAACCAAAGTTTCAGCTTTTAAGTCTGAATAAAATTAATATCAGCAATTTTGCTACTTTTTTGTGAGCTGCAAAAATGGGAGGGGACGTCTGAAAGCTGTGCTAAGGAGAACATTGTTGCTGTCGTTTTTTCTTCCACTAATGACAACCGCAATGACCACTCAGCAAAACATTAAAACACACACTAACGAAATGAAAACTCCTGCTCGGTAATTAGAGAAGCATCCCTGCTGTGTTTTATAATGCAGTAGGGACAAAATAAGCTGTGAATGTAAAAGTGCCTGTCATTCTTTCTCTTTTTCCATCACTTCAAATATCCTCATCCTTCTAAATGGCCTTTTCCCTCCGTTTTTCCTTACTCTCTTTCCCTCAAACCAGAATTATATGAAAAAGCAATAAGTCTGTGGTTCATACATTCCAAATGTGTCACAAAAATCGTGTAAATCGATACATCACTCTCATAAGAGGGCATAACTGCTGCCACAAAAGAGGGGGATCACTTTACAGGCTCAAACAGGCTTTTATGAGATCTGGAGTGTCTGGATAATTATTAGCGCTAAAAAGCCTAGATAGGAATGTTAAAAAGAGCGTGAGAGAAAAAAAAATGTAGGCATGCAAGGGGACAAAAAGGGAGAGGGAATGAGAGAGATGATATCGATGTTCATAGTACTAGATGACATAAAAACAACAGATCAATTGTCATTGTGTTTTGCTGTAGTGCAGTTGCCTGACATCATTACTGATGAAAAAACAAAAAGAGAGCAAGTATGATGAGAAAAAAATGAAACAATATGCTGCAAGTATGCAAAAGGTAAAGGAAAAACTAGGACAAAAACACCAATTATAGACTCATAAACAGAATGTAGATGATAAATATTCTAGTTACGTATATAGAGGAAATGGACTTGTGTCTTGTGTAAATACACTCACTAGGTGTGAGCACAAAAGACTGTGCTGGTTTCATATTAACACATGATGACGAATTCTGTCGCTTGAGAAACCGTCTCCCGTTCTTAAAGCTTCAGTTAACACATGTTTGCTAAGGCCACCACACATGCTTCCTCATTCCATCTGCACCAAGTATTCACTCTCATAAAACTGAATTGGGGTCATCTTTCACAACACCCCGTCTCAACAGTTCCTTTATGAAGACGAAAATGGATCCAGAAACATACAGACAGGCCGAAACTAAAAGCAAAGAGGTATAGTGTGTCTTTTGTTGTGTTCAGTGTTTTGTCCCACAGAAGAGAACTCCAGAGGAGATGGAATAGCAGAAAGGTGATGACATTAATGGAACAAACATCATGAAGAAAAATATTCCAGTTACCAGTGGGATTCTTATACATTATTTATTTAATACTATGAGAAAGCGGTTCAACAAAGAGAATTTCTTCCTCTTACTTCCAGGATTGCTCTTTCCGATTGTTTCTGGTCACCGCAACTAGGGGTGCCAGGTCTGTCAAAAATACTTGATTTTGTATACCTTCAAAAACATTATCATTTATGTAACAAAATAAAGAGAAGGGAACAATAAATAAAGTGCACAAGTCTACAAAATATTATACACTATCATTCTAAGGTTGTTATTCTTATCACGGCTGCATTTATTTGATAAAAAAAAAACAAAAAAAAACATTGTGAAATATTACTAAAATTATATATTCCTAAAATACTATATACTAAAAAAAAATTTTTCCAAGGCTGAATTTTCAGCATTATTAATCCAGTCTTTACCGTCAAACGATCCTTCAAAAACAATTCTAATTGGCTGATTTGCTGCTCAAGAAACATTTATTTTTATTATCAATGTTGAAAATTATTTTTGTGAAAATATTTTTATGGAAACCACGATACTATAGACACATTATTTTTTATTTCGGACGGAAAATACATTTTAAATCGTTACGTGAAATAACAGCTTTGTCTGTAGCACTGCTACAAAGTAATTTATGAATGTTTCCAGACTGTTTTGATGTTCATTTACACTTCAGCGAATTATTTTAAATATCTAGGCTATTTTATTAATGTCAGGAAAGACGGTAACACTTTATTTTAAGGTGCTTGTAATAAGCAGTAATTAACAGTTAATAAGACACTTATAAGACCTTATAAGATGCATATAAGATGCCTATAAAGCATTAACTACTTCATATAACTTCTGAGGACGCTTTGTTTCACTTTTCCCATTCTACTCAATCGTGCCACCGACGAGCCTCACGACAGTTAAAGCCAGGGTGAGTGTAGACTCCATCCCCTGGGGTCCAGCTGGGTCATGACCACTCCGGGGCCGCTCAGTTGCCTCTCCGGGTTCGTCTTGTGCTTTAATTAACCCTTATATGAAGTAGTTAATGCTTATATGCATCTTAAATGCATCTTATAAGGTCTTATAAGTGCCTTATTAACAGTTAATTACTGCTTATTACAAGCACCTTAAAATAAAGTGTTACCGGAAAGACTACTAGGCCATGGATCTGACTTTTACATTTTTAAGTGGTCCTTTTATTCTATATTTATCTTTGTCATTTCATTCTTAGCAAAGCAACCCGAGACATAAGAGACCTACATTTTTTAAAAAGGAATAAAAATAATACAAATTGAAGTGAGTGTAAAGTAGAGGGGGAATATCCAAATTCAGGGACATTTCCACCCGCCCACCCCAGAACATCACATTAAATGACAAGTCTGTCTGCCATATCCTTAGAGACAGCATTGCTCGGCAACCAGTGGAACAGCTGTGAGTGACTGTCATTCCAGGGTTGCTGCGGCAACCTCTGCGAGCAAGTGGTGGGAATGTTTAATGTGGTGGAGCGCTGTCACGCATCGGTGCTCTCAAGCACTCGGACAGCATGTTGGACAGTGTGGAATGAGAGAGAGTAACTGCTGACAGAACAGGAGAGAACAGTAAGCTGCTGTGGACAAGCATCAGAGCGCTGGAGTGTGGGCAGAATGCCTGACACGATGCTGACTTACCTTGCCCTTCAAGCTATTATTTGCCAAATTTAACCATTTGGTACTTAACCATTGTTGCACATTCCCTCTATTTCACAGTCACTCGACAATTATTTATTGCCAGCTGAAGCGATCTTAAGGCAACATACAAACGTGCACAGATGACCTTTGAAGAGAGGTGGATGTAGCGCAGCATATTTTAAATGTAAGGATTTCAGGTTTGTCAATCTCCAGTGAAGCTGAACTCTATTCCTGTCCGCATTCATTTCACAGTAACATGCTCATGCAGGGTGCAATTTCAAAAATATTGTGTCGATATATATCGGTCAACCACTAATTGAGTTATTTAAATATTCTGTGACAACTTATTTAAATGATGTGATGCTTTTTTTATGTTGTGTACACTTTGGGACTTTTTTATTTTAAAACAAAATAATTCTATCGACAAAGTCAGAAATCCATGGTTGGAATGCAAAACCTTTGAAGCTCAATATATCAAAACTGCTCAGAAATCCAGTCACACTATAGTAGGGTTGGGCAAAATATTAAATATTCACATTATATTTGTGATTATGATGTTGCTTTATATCACCACCATAATACACATTTTTATTTGGACATTAAGGTCCTCAAAGACCGTTTCAGCTTGTGTTTTTTGACCTTTACCACATTTAGTTACTTTTCTGTTTTAAGTTCTTACATTAAATTATAGTTTATCTGGGAAAATAAAATATATCATGTTAGAGTAAGTATACACTTCTTAAACTGAAAGGTTTTTAAGAAATCAATATTTTCATTTAGTAAGGTCACATTTATTTCAAAAGTTGTTAAATGTAATAAATGCTGTTCACCGTTTCCACAACAATATTAATCAGCACAGCTGTTTTAAACAGTTGTGCTTTTTAACAGTTATTGCTAATAATAAGAAATGGTTTCTGACCACCTTTCTGAAGGATCATGTGACTCTGAGGACTTAAGTAATGACACTTAAAATTCAGCTTTGCTATTAGAGGAATAAATTACATTTTAACATACAATACTCTGAGTATTTCACAATCTGCTCAGTTACTGGGATTTTCACACACAACCATTTCTAGGGTTTACAAAGAATGGAGTGAAAAGGAAAAAACATCCAGTATGCGGCAGTCCTGTGGGCGAAAATGCCTTGTTGATGCTAGAGGTCAGAGGAGAATGGGCCGACTGATTCAAGCTGATAGAAGAGCAACTTTGACTGAAATAACCACTCATTACAACCAAGGTATGCAGCAAAGCATTTGTAAAGCCACAACACACACAACCTTGAGACGGATGAGCTACAACAGCAGAAGACCCCACCGGGTAAAACTCAACTCCACTACAATTTGCAAGAGCTCACCAAAATTGGACAGTTGAAGTCTCGGTATCTGTTGAGACATTCAGATGGTAGAGTCATAATTTGCCGTAAACAGAATGAGAACATGGATCCATCATGCCTTGTTACCACTGTGCAGGCTGGTAGTGGTGGTGTAATGGTGTGGGGGATGTTTTCTTGGCACACTTTAGGCCTCTTAGTGCCAAATTGGGCATAGTTTAAATGCCACGGCCTACCTGAGCATTGTTTCTGACCATGTCCATCCCTTTATGGCCACCATGTACCCATCCTCAGGTGGCTACTTCCAGCAGGATAAGGCACCATGTCACAAAGCTTGAATCATTTCAAATTGGTTTCTTGAACATGACAATGATTTCACTGTAATAAAATGACCCACACAGTCACCAGATCTCAACCCAATAGAGCATCTTTGGGATGTGGTGGAAAGGGTTCTTCGTGCCCTGCATGTGCATCCCACAAATCTCCATAAACTGCAAGATGCTATCCAATCAATAAAGGCCAAGATTTCTAAAGAATGCTTTCAGCACCTTGTTGAATCAATACTACGAAGAATTAAGGCAGTTCTGAAGGCGAAAGGGGGTCAAACACAATATTAGTATGGTGTTCCTAATAATCCTTTAGGTGAGTGTATATTAAAATAGAAAACAGTTATTTTAACACAATATTACTGTTTTATTATGTATTTTTGATTAAATAAATACTGGCCTATATCACCTATATACTGTACATGCTATTACTATTGTAAATTACAATAAATTAATTTTTATCATACAAAACATAATAACAGTAGTACCATAATCAAACATAACAACAACAGTGCTATCTAATGGCTAAAAGGGTAAATCTGAAAAACAGCATCCATATTGTTCTGCCTTAATATCTCCTCCCAGAATATGAGAAAGTTGTTGTTTTAGGTGTTTGTGTGTTTGTGTTTGTGTGTGTATGCGAACTTATCAGGCTGTGTAACCATGGCCACAGCTAAGAAGCTCATCCTCAGTGAGAGATGATGTCCTTACCTCCACTCACTATGAGTACTAATCTATACATAACATGGAGAGAGGAAGAGTGGATGAGGAACAGAACATTTAGAGGTCAGCCACCGTCATGCTGGAATAATAATCGTTTTTTCTCATTATCTTCCTCTCCTTTCTATCCTGCACATCCATCCTCTATTTCCCTATCACCAAATCTCTCAATCCATCATGAGGCTATATGGTGGTCTGATATGCTGCATGAGTGCCAATCCATCCATCATCTCTCACCTGTGAAGGTGCGCTGGAGGACAGGCCTCCGCTGAGCTCTCCGATCCGGGCCGCGGCTGTGGGGTTGGAGGAGCTGATCAGAACCGGGCCGCTGATCTCCATGGAGTGTCTCTGAGGTGGAGGGGCCAGGCAAGGCTTATGGGACATAGTTAGGGAGGTGAAGGAGTGTCGCTTTTTACTATTCTTCTTCTCTCCAGTAGCTTTCTGGGAGCCGTTGGCTTGGGGGCCTGAGGAAGAGGATGATGGCCCTTCACTGGAGTCTCCTCCACCTTCAGATGGCTTGTCCAGTTCTATGAGCTGTCGAGCTGCACTGTTAAACTGAAAGTAGAAGAGAGAGTAAACAGAAATCTTTATAACTCTTATCACTTTACTGCAAATGCTATTAGTATTGTATCTAATTTTGGCCTTTTGAAACGTTGAGAGCCAGATTCAACCAACAGTGTCACATAAATTAACTGCTAGGCCATAGTTCTCAAACTTTCTTTATATGTTATCTAACGAGGAGTTGTAGAGAATGAAAGAAACAGGAGTACACAGAAAGAAAGAGGACAGAGATTGTGGTGAATCTTTAAAGTCAGCATGAAACAGAAGTTGCTGTAGTCTTTTCTTTCCTATTGTGACATATTTACAAGTAAAACCAAAAATGTAAATCGGGATTGGATTTTGTCCTTCAGGAATTCGTAAAAAGTCCCTACAAAGTACTTAAAGTGGGCTTTATGTAATAAATGAACCCCCCCACCCCCCTTTTGATCTGAAACTCCATCCGATCCATGACTTAAAAAAACGCAATTTGATCTGAACCGTGAGTTTTTTGATCTGTTGCACCACTAGTAAAAAGCAATGGAAAAGTTCAAAGACTCGTTGGTGAACAGAATGTGGGGTGGTGGGTGTGATGTGATGGGACTGCAGGCCATGTCTGATTTCATGTGAAACTGAAATCAAAGGCATACGAGCAGAGAGTCTCCAGCTAATGACAGAGCAACACGCATTGCCCCGAGAAACTCACTCCCTGCACAAATGAGAGAAGCCAATCAGACCACTCATATGAAGAGCCCTACACTCTGAATTCAGCTGATCTAGGTCATAAGGATTGATTAACTAAGAGCAAAATGCTTGATTCCATTTCAAAGTCACTTCGAAAACAGAAATTTATGGTGGCAGGTGACATGGGAAGATAAAAACCTTTTCCCCTTTTACACTATTTCAAGTACCTGAGTGAATGTCACTTTTGATGTCAGTGGTATTACTTCTCAAAAGCATTCACTTGGAAAAGTCTGGTTTTCCTGAAAATTGCCAAGGCATTTGTGAAAGCTCGAAGCCTCCGCCCCTCTTTTCCCCCGTCCTCTCGCTCTGAGTGAGAGAGAAGCAACTCAAGAAGCACCATTTCGACAAAAGCTATTTTTGAATGTCTTTTGATGGTTATTTTTTCCCACAGGTTAGACACGTGGCTGGCAGAGCTCACGCTGGCTCTGCCAGGGTTCATAAAGGTTTTTGTCTATGTTTATGGGAGTAAATATGTGAAGTGTTTCGATAACTGAGATGCTGCAACTTTCAGGAGCACACATGAGGTTGGCCATGATAATTGAGGCTATTAATAATAATAATAATAATGCATTTTATTTAAATGGCACCTTTCATAACACCCAAGGTCACCTCACAAACAATATACAGGCACAAGACAAAACACACAACAAACAAGTCACATATACAGATCAAGTGCAGTTAAGTCTCTAATCTTAGTTGAGGGTGAGTGATTAAAGAGAGCAGTGTTTTAAAATTGTGCATGTCTGATAAAGAGACGCACAAGGCTGTGGGTGTTTTGGGAATTGAGTCTGTTGAGAATTCAAAACAGCTCAAATAATTAGCAAAAATTTAAGAGCTATCTGAGATCTGCACGCTTAAAGAGCTGCGCGTTTTTTACAAGAACAGAAACAAAGAAATGGTGGGGATGAAAAACTAGTCAAATGAGGAGGATGTTACAAAAATGGCAACAACTAATACTTTTGAAAGCAAACTCTTTAAAGGGTGGAGAATAGTTTGAAGGTTTCCAAGTCTAAAGCCATGTTGAAGAGTACAACATCTAAATATAAAACATTAAATGTGAAAATGTCAGGAAACAATGACAGTTTTAAATGCACTGATATGACTCACCTCTACATAAGATATGGGGAAGATGCCAATCTTATCTCCCAGCATGCCTTCCGCCCAGTTCTCATCCACACGACGAATCACAGTAAGAATATCATCCTGAGGGCAAACGGAATAAAACAGGTTCCTTGTTATTCAGCCACAAACCTATACAGCAATTTGTTAAAAAGTTCATAAAAACGTGCAACTCGAAGGCATGAATGAACAGCATTTCTTTTTTAAATCTATCCAAAACATAAATAGCTGGAGGGTAATTTGCACACTTATGTTGCAAGCAGAAGAAAATGTTTCTTTTTGTTTCAGCAACATTATAGCAGTGCTGTTCGTTCACCCTTAAAAAAAAGTCACTATTTGTTCTCGCTAGTGGAACATATAAAAGGAGACATTCTCATGCTCATGCTTCTTTTCCATTCAAAGTAGGAATATCTAATGCATTAACTGACTCTATGAATTGACTTGTAAAGTGCTACACTATTTCTTTTTGAACTTGTGAATGGGTGTGTGTATTTGATGGGAGAGTAAAGATTAATTTCAAAGTCTTTACAAATGTCCAGCACCTTTGAGAATGGCAAGCAGTCCTTGTCAGCCTCCTTGTCTTTCAGCTCAAAGTCATACAGGGCCTTGCATTGAGGGGGCGGCTGTGGGAGAGGTTTGATGACCTGGACGAAGTTGGTGGGGAAGAATCCATGAACTCCACCCATCTCTCCATGGAACCAGTTTTCATCCACCTGTCGACGCAGGATGATGATGTCACCCTTGCTGAACTTGAGATCTCCAGGTTCTTTGCCATCATAGTTGTATAAGGCCTTGGCACATGGTAGCTGAGGTACTCCCTGTAGTAAAGAGAAAGACAGGAGGAGGATTACTAAAAGTGAAAGATCAGGGTATCCAAAGTAACTTGGATTCATGGATAATGCAAGATCAGCACTCAAAAGCACATTCATTTTTCAAACTCATAGGACAGGCGAAGGGTGAGCATGAGACCCACAGCCAGCTTTCATAGAGCGTGCCAGCTTTCATAGATGTGTGGAGGGGAGGAGTGTAAAGTGAAAACATGGATTCTATAATAAACCCTTCTCAGCAAGTTTTTTTAAAAACATACACACTGCTATCTTTGGAGCCTTTCACACACAATCCTTAACTTTGCCATCTGCAATATGAAAAGAAATAAAGAACCATCTTTGCTCAGCTATACACAAAGTCAAAAATGCTAACATAAGCTCAATGATAACGATTGTGCTGTATAAGAGTGATAAGTCTGTCTGGCTTCTCTTTCAGCCTGACCTCATTGCCTTGTTTCTCTGTTTGACTGTGCCGGGTTGCTTTTTCGGTCTTCCTTGCACCGTTTGTGTTGCTTAACTTACTGACTGCCTCCTTGTCTGACAATCCCAAAATACCCTGGGATATGCCAATGGATTCAAAACGTTGTGGGGCAAGCACATTTATCAATGTGTGTGGAGTTTTATGGTGCAGAACCAGTCGTCTGGAACCAGTCAAAGCTCCTTTCAAGCCTGACAATGATCCACAGGCAGAAAGAGGAAGGAGGCGGCAGACACAGTCCTGCTCAACTGAATAAGCCCTTTTCAGGCAAACTGTTCAAGAGAGAGGCCCTCTGTACAAGAGAACCCCCTCCAACAACCCAGCATAAGGGTGCAATGGTCTTCCTCCACTGTAGCATGCATCTCCTGCCCATAGTGAGGAGAATGATAATAACAACACCAATAACACAAAGAGAATCCGAAAATAACCATGAAAGACAAAGGTATTGGAAAGGAAGAAGAAAACAAGGAGGACGGACAGTGTAGGCAGATAGGCAAGAATGAAGGGAGGAAGAAATTAGGAATGCAGGTAGACAGGAATGAAGGTAAGTAAGAAGGAAGGAAGGAAGGAGGGAAGTAATGAAAGGAAGGAAGGAAGGAAGGAAGGAAGGAAGGAAGGAAGGAAGGAAGGAAGGAAGGAAGGAAGGAAGGTGGAATAAAGAAGTTGGTTAGGTAGGTAAACAAGGAAAAAGTGAATAGCTTATAGGCTAAGTATTGGCTAAGTAGGCTAATAGGCTAAAGAAGGAAGGAAGGATGGTAGGCAGAAAGGAAGGAAGAATGACTGGTAAGGAAGTAAAGGAAGGCAGGCAGGAAGAAGGGAAATAAGAAAGGATGGGGAGTAGGGCTGCATGATTATGGCAAAAATCATAATTGTCAATTATTCTCATGAATTTGAAATTGCAACAATTAATTATGGTCATCACAATTTACATTGAATAAGTAAGTAAAGTAAAGCCGGCTTATAAATGGTGCGGAGCAGGGGAATCCAACGTTTAATTAAAACAAAGCATCGCGAAGGCCCGCGGTGGGTGTTGACGTGAGGTGATTTTTTGTATAACAGACAGTAAACCGTTTAAGTAATAATCGTTTACCCCAGCCCTAATATATGCCTATTATAATACATTTGTTTACAAATAAATTGTCGACAAGCACAAGTACTGTCCTCCTTTTTGTAAAATACAAACAACTTGTAAGAATATGACTTATACTGATAAACAGTCGGCCTATGAGGTAAGGTTTTTAACTAGCAGTCCCAAACTAGTTTTTGTTAATAAAATGTTGGTATGAGCACAGTCATTAAAAAAATGAACAAAATATCCCAAACTGAAAATAGTGGCATTTGGAAAAAAATAAAATAAAGTGGCATTTGGGGGTTATGGAAACCACACAATACAATAAAAAAAAACGTTTTATTTCAGAGTACACTTACGTCACTGTCAGTTCCTATTGTACTGGGTTCTCTGAAATAGTCATGATTCGCCTCTCACAAAGTAACATGCTATAAACACACCTCTTAAGCACACAGAATAAAGTAAGTGGACTTTGTTTTTGCACTAGCGGCTTTGAATGATTACGTAAAAGTGGCACCTGTAATCGTAGCCATGATTAGAAATTTGATTAATTGTGTAGTCCTAATGGAAAGAAAGGGAGATGGTGTGCAGGTTGGTAGGTAATTAGGTGGGTAGGAATAAAGGAACAATTGTAAAAAGGGAGGAAGGAAGAAGGGAAAGAATAATGGTTGAACAAAAAATGAGATGCTATGCAGGTGGGCAGGTACCTAGGTGGGTTGGAATAAAAGAACAATTGTAAAAAGGAAGGAAGGAAGTGGGTCAGTAAAAGTTACTTAGGAAGGAAAACAGGCAAGGTAAGCAAGAAAAAAAAGAAAGAAAGAAAGAAAACAAGGGAAAACAAAGAAAGAGACTGATGCGGTACTTTCAGCCCAGAGTAGGATCAGACAGTGACTAAGCAGCACTCACCACAGAGAGGACAGATGGTCAACCCAGACACCGAAACAACTAACTAGAGGGCAAACTGACCTTTCAGAAACCACATCCTTTCTTCAAACTTAAAAAACAAACCAAAAAGGAAATAAAGATTAAACTAAGAAATGTTATTTGCTCTCAATTCTATGTAATTTGGGCCGACAGTTTTATTTGATGTAAAGTAACTCTGTGCCAAAATCCACCGACTCGAACAACTCAGAAATCAAAGCTCCATTCGTCTGTGCACAGAGGTGCACTCTTCGAACCCCCTTCTGCTGGCCTCTCTCAAAGGCAGCTGTCAGCAGATCTGCAGATTTACCCACTTAGAGCATGAAACCGACAGAAAGAGTGAGAAAAGAGGAAAGACATGAAAGAACAAGGAATAAGAAGGAAAAGAGACAAAAAGGGTAGGACGGTAAGAAGGAAAAGAGAAAGTTTAGGATGGCCAGTGTTTTTCCGGCCTAAGCCTTGCGTGTGAAAACGAAGGGTACTAGCGATTTCTTGAACTGGACTGACATTAAAGAACATTCAGGCTTTTATCCAGTCCAAACAGAGCACAGAAGGTGTGCGTGTGTACGCTTGCCCATTTGTTAAAGTTACATTAATCTCAAAGCTCTGTTAAAAAAAATGTGCCCACTTGCAGTCTGAGGTTTTCTGATCTCAAGACTCATTCTGGTCCAAGAACTCTTACATGAGACTGAAGGAATAAACACCAGTCTGTCTTACTGAAGATCTAAAGAACACAATCAGAACTACAGGATATTATAAAACTAATGCAAGACAGCTTTGAGAGTCCAGTGGACCTGAAATTACTCAGCGCTGCAGAACTGAGCTAAACATCTCTCACTGCAGGGAAAAACAACAACACCTTTATTCTTTAAAGCGCTGAATCAAATGAGATTATAATGTAAACAAGATACCTAAAAATACCTAGTAACAAGATAAAAACCTGGTGGTTCTCAGAGGGCAGGCATGCTGAATTCATCCTATCTAATTGACAATTACAAGTGGTTTTTCATTTAACAGATGCTTTACAGTGACTTGCAGTTTTCATCACGATGATTCCCTCATGCATGGAAATTTGCATTGCAATTTTGCAAAACTATATTATTGCACCAATTTAATTGGTAGAAGTTTTCATACTGTCACTAGTAGGCATTACTTTAGTTTTTTTTTTTTTTTTTTAGATTGGAATTTGGTCCAATCGTTTCAAATTTCATAATAGATTAGTGGCCAAAATCGTCTAGTCATATCAAACATTTCCAAGACTAAGCTGTTACGGAAAAATTTAGATAAATCAAAAACTATTTTGACTCTGAATTGAATCTAAAGTGCCATAAAATTCCCACCCCTTCTTATCATTGTTAAATGTCTAGCGCAAGGGAAAATGGTAACCATTCTCAGGTCATTTTATGTGAGGTTTGATTATATCCATGTTTGAAAATATCTATTCACAGATATTTAACCACTCCCCAATAAAATGGGTGGACAAAGTAAAACTGGAAAACAAAGCATGATCACAATATGTCGAAATACATGTGGTAACTACTATGCCATGACTCCAACTCCTTTTCAGGTAATACTATTGGAAGGGATATCTTTATTAAAAAAAACTGAGAACAAAAAATAAAATGAACAGGGGATCTGTTCTTTAGATTTCATCACACAATTTGGCTGGCGGCGATGTTTGACGTTTCTTAGTGGAGTGTAACCTGCCTATAATTTGTCAATGTGTGACAGCTAGATGTGCCTAATAGACCACTAATGAGAAATGTGTAATCCAATACTAATGAGCTCTCCAAGTCAACAAGCCATCAATCACTATTAAGACTCTAATATTCACAAACATCCCGACCGTCTCTAAATCACTGTTAGAGGCAATCTAATGTCATAACATACAGCCTTTTAGCTCACTTAGTGAAGACTTTTTCTAGCCATCACCATATTCTTCATTGACTCACCCATTTCATCTGACCCATCAGTGTCTAGATCATGTTTTGGACAGGTTGGCAGGGCTCCAGAGTAAAGAAATGACTAGAAAGCCACAACAATAAAACAGTTAAGGCCGTTCACACCAAGAATGAATACTGTAGATAACTATAGCGATTTCTATATTAGCATCCATCGGCCTATTGTTCTGTTTAATATAAGCGCATGCTGCAGTCCTGTTATCTGTCGCTTTAAACGCTTGAGTGGTTTAAAACTGAATGGATTCTGGTTGGCTGTCAATGTTTTATCGTTCATCAGCTGGAAGAAATCGTTCTGAAAGTGATTCCAAATATATTGTTTCGCCATTATCGTTTGAGATATGGTGTGGATTCTGCTATTCTTTTATATTTAGAGTGATTTTTAGAGTAAAATATTTATAGCTATCGTCCTTGGTTTGAACAGGCAAATAAATTGATTTGACTTCTAGTCACTTTAATTACATAATAAATAAACATTTCAGTATATAGATTAGGATGACAATTTAAGTTATAACTATTTTAACACAGCAGAGAATGCAATTGAAGTGCTGCACAGGGTGTAAAA